TGCCTTGGGAACTCATCTGTGGTAGGAAACACTGGCAACCGCCCAGAAAGAAACCACTATACTGGGAATGTGCTGTTTGCTGGTACTATCAGCTGCTAGGAGAGGAGAGAATAGAAAACTTCCCTTGAAGGCCCATCTTGACTTGGTTGTAGGCAGCCTTGTTGCTGCCTTCAGAAATATTTAGAGTCCAAAATGACTAGAGCATACTTGTGTTGAATTTACCATAAAAACTCAACAGAGTGTGCCAAAATAGTATCTCTGGCCTTGGAAACAGAAATGGTCAAGCTTTTCACCAACTAAGAATTTGGTGAAAGGTATATAAAGTATTGCTGACTTTTTTCAGATACACCTTATGAATAAGACTCTGGATGCTGGTTTATTTGGGTTCCTGGTAAACCTGCTTATCTATAAATTGTAATGTAGAATTAATATACTAAAGGAATTTTTAACATGTGCTTCTCAGTGGTTGTTTAATGGCTTGATAATTTTCCAGCAATATTTTGTCATTGACTGCTTCACACCAGCATTATCTTAAACTAATACCAAAAGCTAGCTGTTCCAGACAGCTGAATTGAAATGTGCAATATGGGGAGCCACAGCCAACACATCAGTTCCCGTGTCATGTGCATTTCTAATTACGCAAGAAGTGGTGCTTATTGTGCAGAAGATCATACAGTCAGTTCTGGTGTTCTCTGAGATGACTCACCTACTCTCACTCAGCGGCGCAGCACTAACTTTTCATATGTATCCTCTACTCACATGGCTATGCTCTCTAACTTTTGACTGGGATCTCTAAATTAAAGGCTTTTCCTATAGTCAGAGCAGGGGAACACGTGCCTGGGGAACACGGCTCTGCTCTTTGGTGGGCTGAGTCACTACTGGTCTGCTGCTCCACCGTTGCTCCATTGACTGGGGAGGGAGCCTCAGGCAGGGCTGGCAAGTCTTGGGTGTGCGTGCCCCAACCAGCCTGCCCTGCCACTGGCAGTGGGCTGAGAGGAGACCTTGCAAGGTGTGAAAGGCTTACCGACACTTGTCTGGGGTGACTGGGCTCCTGCTTAGGTAATGGAATTAAATAAATACATGTACACAGCCAAGTCCACAGTGACTTAGGTGGCAGCCCCACTCTGAGTTGGAGAGGTGACCCACCGAGCCCCTGTAGTTGCACTCAGGCTTTCCCAACCTGCAGTGTCTGTGGTGGCTGAAGCACCCTGACAGTGTGAGCCAGAGTCCCCGTGCAGGATTGTCCCCAGGCCATTTCCACTGACAGCCCTCATTTCACCTCTCCTTCCATCCCTGTGTTTTGACTTCCCTTGTTTCCAGGGTTTGTTCCCAAGCACTTACCACCTCCCTGCTGCCTGTTTCTGCAGCTGCGGCCTCACACATGCTTCCTCCGCTGTTCTGCGGGTACACCCTCTCCCTCGAGCATTTCTCTCCCACAGAGCGGCTGCTCTTTCCCACCAAGCATGGTTTCACCCCTGAGTTTCAGACAGTGCTGCAGACATTCACCAGACTAATTCTCCGGGGTCATGTCCTGCAGAAAACATCCACTGTCCCCAGGGACCTCAAGTCCCTTCCTCAGTCACAGGGAAGACGAGGATTAATCATAGAGCTACAGCACTCACTTTCCACTCCAGCTGTAGACCAGTCTTTTATAAGGGAAAGGAACTGGAGCAGCCCAAGGGTGTTACAGATATCTTCACGGAGTAATGGGTCTCCAGTGCCCTGATATATGGAGTTACCTTCTCTAAGTTTGCTAAATATCTGATCTGCCCAGTTCCCCCATACTGTGTCTCTTGGGCATGAGGTAGAAATCATCTTCCTTAACTTTAAATGTCTTTAAAATGGAATAACTTGTAGTTTGGAAGTGCCTGCTCGTTACCATAGAGTTTTAGACAGGGACTAAGGGGATGGTGTGTATGCTGCTTTGCAGAAGGCATATAATCCCAACATGACAGACACTTTTTATTTTGGACGACATGGCAAGCGTGCCAGTTCGCAGTGTGTAGGACACTCTCAGACCAGCTGCAGACATGTTACAGACTGGTCCCCTGGACCCAGGATGCAGCAAGTCCTTTTCTACAGCAACAATAAACCAAACTGTGACATTTCCACCCCGGTCTTTGTGCCTCGTGCCTGTCATCAAGCCTGGAGGAAGCCAGATGCTCTACAGGCAACCTCTTGTCCACATTAGGGCTGAGTTAATGGTCTCAGCATTATTTCTCTCTTCTAGTTTGGGCAATAAATGAAGAGGAGGATTTCTGTCTTCTAGTCTGAAAAGACTAGATTTAGATTTTTCATCCTTTCTCAGGAGTCAGCTACTGTAACTAAGCACCACAAGGGAGTCATTGAAGTTAAAGAGAAGGAACAAGGGCTCAAAAGTTTGAGGAGCATTGCTCTTAGGACTACAAAGAGCTCTGCATGGCCTATTAATAGATTTAGTCACAGCCCAATGCAGCTGTAGGCCCACTGAGTGGGACAGTATGTGTTTAGTTGTCTGATTACACCCTCAAGTCTTATTTTTTGCCCCTGCATTACAACTTCATTTCCCTCCTGCTCTTTCAAGATGCTGATTGATCCAGAGCCGTAGGTAGAGGAAAGAAATGTATTTATATTACAGCATAACTACTCTATATTTCCAAGTGAAAGGCGTGTAATTGAGCAGGGTTGCAGACAAAGAGCAGGTGTATTTCACAGCTGCTTCATCTTCGTTGCTCTGGTCTGATGAGGAGCAAAGCAGTGTACATGGGTGGGTTGGGAAGTGGGAAGGAGCAGTCAAATCAACTTGTGGCATACTGATGTGAACCAACTTGTTCCAGCACCTGCATGGTGACCTCAGGCTGTCAGAAGCACTAAAACCTGAATAAAAAAACCAAAACATAGGTATTTTTGCTCTAGCAGGATAAATGCATATGTGTAACCCTTAACACCTCACATCATGGGAGAGGGAAAGTAAATTTTCTCTCTGATTACAGATAAAACTGGACCAGTGTGGTTACTAGTCCAAAATATGGCACAACATGGAAGGTCCTCATTATCCTGATTTGTCAGAAAGATATAAGCCTTGCTCTCTCACTCCCAAAATAGCTTTCCAGGCTTGGAAGGTCTCTCCATGCCCTCAAAGGCCCATCACACCCAACCCATGCAAAGTGTGTTGAAGAGCCCAGTGCCATCACTGCAAAGCTGCAAAGCTGTGGAGCTCAGGCTGGGGTGGCTTGGCTGTTGGTGTTATAAAGAGAGCGTGAAGCCAGTCTTGCAAGGAGGCTCAGGCACACAATTAACTGACAGCCAATACTAGTAGGCCAATACTTTTTGGTTTTTGAGTCCACTCCCTGAACAGACAGAGCCAGATAATGAGAATGTCCCAATTCAGAGGAGCACCCAGGGCCACTCAGAGTGATGCTCCTGGCTCACATTTGGTGCTGCAGGCTCTGTGATTTTCCTCGGTGCGTCAGGACCGTTTTGCAAGTACCTCTGACTCGGGTTTCACCTTGGCTGTCAAAATCCTTGTACTGAATGTCATCCTTAGGAAAATAGAGGTTTGGTTTGATCCCAAAACTGGAGACATTTGAATCCACACACCTAGAATCTTCTAGATAACTGTGCTCATGGTGTGAAAGCTGCAGCACCCAACCATTACTTTCTTAACCACTGCTTACGTGTTTTGAGTAGCATCATAGTGTCAGGTTATGGTGAAATTTTGAAGACAGGCTCCAAGCTCATTTTGCCTCCTCAATGCTGAAGGAGCAGATAGAGCAAGAGTCAGGAAGCCCCAACAGTAGCAGAAATGTACAGTTCTGCTGCTATCCTGCAGCAGCAGAAGCACCAAGGTGCACAGTGAGGATCTGGCTCTGGCATAACACCATCAGCAAACAAGAAGGCACAGAGTACAGCTTCTGGGACAAGCTACTAGCATGGGTGCCAGGCTTGAGAGTTGGACCTGTGTGAACATCATGAAGTTCACCAAGACCAAGTGCAAGGTCCTGCACATGGGTCGAGGCAATTCCATGCACAAATACAGACTGGATGGAGAACGGATTGAGATCAGCCCTGAGGAGAAGGATGGGGAGTGTTGGTTGACAAGAAGATCAAGTGTGCACTTGCAGCTCAGAAGGCCAACCATATCCTGGGATACATCAAAAGAATCATGACCAGCAGGTCTAGACAGATTCTGCCCCTCTGCTTTGGTCTCATGAGAGCCCACCTGGAATACTGTGTCCAGTTCTGGGCCCCCCAGCATAAGAAGGACATGGGCCTGTTGGAGCGAGTCCAGAGGAGGGCCACTCAGATGATCAGGGGCTGAAGCACCTCCCTTATGAGGACAGGCTGAGAGAGTTGGCATTGTTCAGCCTAGAGAAGGCTCCAGGGATTCCTTATAGTGGCCTTCCAGTACTTAAAGGAGGCTACAGGAAAGATGGGGAGGGACTATTTGTCAGGGAGTGTAGTGATAGGATGAGGGCTAACACTTTTAACATGAAAGAGGGTAGATTTAGATTAGATAGAAGGAAGGAATTTTTTCCTGTGAGGTTGGTGAGACACTGGCACAGGTTGCCCAGAGAGGCTGTGGCTGCCCCCTCCCTGGCAGTGTTCAAGGCCAGGTTGGACGGGGCTTTGAGCAACCTGGGCTAGTGGAAGGTGTCCCTGCCCATGGCAGGGGGGTTGGAACTAGATGATCTTTAAGGTCCCTTCCAGCCAAAACCACTCTATGATTCTATGTGGCAATGCCATGTGTTAGCCATGCTGCCGTAACTCTGTAGATGCATGTTCCTACCCTAAGATAAATGTAAAACATTTTATTGGTGGACATGGGATAAACTGCCTCATATTTTCCATGGAGTAAGAGTAGGAGCCCCAGCAGTCACGCTGGGAGCTGTTGCTGTTTTAGAAGGTCACACCCAAGTTTGCCACAAGGTCACTTTTTCATGTTGCCAAGCCCACACAGGGGAATGGAGCCAACCCAAATTGACTGAAGAATGCAAACAGAGTATGTCAGCTTGGGCGTCCTCATAGCCACCTCGGCATAACCCTGCGGGTGAAGAGTGGATGAGAAATGAAAAGGGAAAAGCAGAGAGAGAGAAAGTCTTCTGTAAAGTAGGAAGGGGAAAACATCTGGGATTTTTTGTATTGTTTTTAAGGATAGTTATTTTTGAAATACAGCTCTGCAGCATGAGATAGATGTCCTGTTGTTCCAGTGGGATATTTACAAGTGACTCATTAAATATTTAAATGGCAATGTATTGTTTCTGAGATGGGATTGACAGTGAAAGAGAGCCATTCCTAACAATTAGGAACAGGTGACAGTGTGACTGAAAATGCTACTCTGCAGCCCTGTAGGCATCTGCAAATTTAGCTGATATGTGTTTTTTTAAGTTTGGCTTTATTTACTGGTATAAGTTGATGGTGGCCTCTTGATTTCCACTGAAGTGGACTGGTTGGCACTGGAAAAAGGAAATTAATTTCATTGTGTGCAATAAGAAAAAAAAATTAAAAATTGGAGTGCTGATGTGGGAATGTCTTCTTATTGATGTTAAGAAATATCCTAACACTGCCTCTCCCTGAAACACTTTGTATTTCAGGTATAAAGGAGGTTTAGAAAGACAAAGTTCAGAGACTTCAAGAGGTGGTGAATTCATGATATCCCCTAAGGAGTTATTTCAGGGCTTAATTAATCACCGTTAAAATGCGTACCTTATTGCTAGCTGAAATGTATCTAGCTTCAGCCTCCAGCCACGGGATCTTCTTACGTGTTGCCTTGGTAGATTAAAGAGTTTCTACTATAAAATTCCATGGAAAAAAAAATCACTTGTTACAGAATAAAAATTGGGTGAGGCATATCAAATTGCAGGTTTATAGGTCACGAGAAGGTTTGTGGATAATTCTGTGTTGGTTGCTTGTAACAAATGCTGACACTACATCTAGAAAAGAATGATAGTTCTTTCTCTTGGTAATTAGGGAAGCCTGAAGGATCTGAATATCATTATGGTTTCAGAAGGGCTGTAAGCCTCAAATTTGGAGGATAGTTTCCAGCACTAGGTTTTTGTTCAGCAGTGCTTTTGGGTTTCTTATCTTCTTTGCCAGGTGAGTCACTACCAGTGAAAAGTGCAATTGTTGCAAAGAGCTCAAGAAGAATAAACAAAAGGCACAGGCTTGTTCTCCTCTCCCTGAAGTGTGCTAAAATCACATCCTTCGCCTGGTCAGGGTTTGAACACATTTGGAACATATTCACTCCTCACACTCTGCATTCTTCTTGCAAATAATACATAATTACGAAGATGTAGCCCCAAGAGGAAAAGGCTGTTTACACAAGATATCTACATACAGACAATAATATTTTTTACATGCCTGCTTTAGAGATATTTAACAAGTTAATTTCTTTTTATTTCACTTGAGATCTTTCCCAGCATACTAATAGTTAGGCTTTAAATTGCTGCCTTACAGATGTTTCCCAGAGCATTATGCTTTTTATTATTGTTGTTCTCTGCATCTCCTCCAGTTTAAAGATGTCTCTCTTGCACTGAGGCACCCATTTGTCAAACGACTAGATCAAGAAAACCAGTACTGAGGTAGCTGCTGTGCAGCAGAAGTGCTTACATTTCCCGATGCAGGGAAGGGGAAAGTCAAAGAATAGGATGCATCCTGCTGAGAGATGTGAAGCCTCCATCAGCCAGAAAGAAGAGGTACCTCATAGTCTACCTGGGTCCTACAAATGGGGCAAGGGATATACCCCATGGGGAGGAAACCAGGTTCTGGTCTCCCACCATCTCAGGAGCATCTCTCTGGCCCTCAGCCCTAAGCACCACAGTCTGAATTTGGGGCTGGCACTTTCCTGATGTTCTAACTGCCCTCTGGGTGAGAAGGCAAGGCTCACAGAGCCACCAAGAGACTGCAGCCAAGCCAGGGAGTGGCTGTGCGATAACAAAGGACTCCCTGGCCCAGAAAAAGAGGAGTGCCAGGGACAACTCATGTGGATTGCATCATTAGATAAACCAAATAAATAGCGTTTAAGGGAAGGAGAGGAGTTGGTTTGGCTTAGGCATTGGCATGCTGCCTAAGATTCTGGGGACGCACTGCAGGGCATTTTTGAATTTGACCATCTTCTCTCCTCTAAAATGGGCACAAGGTACTTTCCTCCCTCAAAGACTGCGAAGTGGATTCAGGCATTAAAAACTCCAGGATATGCCATGTCCACGTCACAGGGTAGAGTTCAGTGCAGACACTTGAATTGGCTGGCCCATGGGGCACAGATTAGATGCAACCAGCATCAGGAGTTTGGAACTGTATGGAAAGTATTTCTGTGATTCCATGACAGGGCCTGAACTCATAAATCCTGGGCCATGGTTAGATATATTACCACAGGCAGAGATCTGCCCTGACATCAGGCCAATATGGCCATGCTGCAGAAATCAGGGATTCCCATGACACCCTCTGGTGTTTGCTCAGGCAGGACAAATTCAGATCTGTCCAGAAAGGTCACTACAGGTGACCACTATAAAGCGTGCTCTGTAGCTGTGAAATGGCCAGGTGGCAAGTCTGGTAGGCATGACCTCTAATACCTTATAGGTGATAAAACTCATGAAGTGAAAGTCTAATTAAATGCTAAAAACATCTGTTGGGTCTTTTGGCCCAGCAAAATTACCTCTTTGGCTGCATACTGGTCTGCTGGAGGACACAACAACAAGGGAAGGAGAAGGCAGTCCTGTGAGGTTCAATCTGAGGAGAAGCTGATGCATGGAGCAACCTGCAATGAATACCATTGAAAAAATACCATGATTTACACAGGATGTATCTGTCAAGCTGCTGTCAATACTGTGAACATTATCCATAATATGTAAGGACCATATTAACACAGCAAGATTCTGAAGACCCTACAGTTGTCTGCTCCTGATATCTGACTCCCAGAATTCATGTGTTAGTATATGTTGGATTTCTAGGGTTGTACCCCTCAACACAGTGGGAAAATGGCATGATAACACACATTTTAAATTGAGTGCTATTGTTAAAGAGACTTATGAAAGCTCCACTGGGTTGTGAAGTAGAGATGAGCCTCCTCCAATGGGGTTAGTGCTCAGAGTTGCTCAGGTTAGCCCTCAGCTGTTCTTCAAACCCAATTCATGAGCTCTGAACCTCCTGAGCTCACAAAGCCAAGGCTGAAAATCCCAGGAGAATGGGCTTTCATGAAGGGCTGGGCACCCCTAGTTTCCAGGACAGCCTAGATTGCACAGGAGTTGCAGCTTCTTGTGGCATAGGTTTAACACACATTCATCAGGGACTTTGGGAGCACCCACTGATAATGCATTGCAATAAATCACCTCTGTCATCATGTGAGGTTACCAAAATCATGTGGTTCCTCTTTATTCCTCTCCGCTACCCATATAGTATGCACATGACTTTATTTGGAACTGAAAAGGCAGCAGATACCTGGGAAGAAGAATTAATCTTTTCCAAATATCATCAAAAGCATAGCCACCTGCCAGCCTTTTATATGAAGAAAATTCTTGGCCAGGATGGGAAACTATCCTGTGTAAAATGCCATCCCTAAGCATGCCATTTTTAATGAAGCCACCAATATTGGTATTCTGTGCCTATGAGATAAAACAGAATATATGTTATTATCTGAGCCATTCGCAGCCAGCCAGGTTTAGGATGAAGAACGTATCAACGCTGCGGGAACTCTGCAATAGTGCCATGCCCACTCTGCTGGGTGACCCATACTGTGCACACCTAACCAGCTAGTGTTAGCATTTGGGTGGTGGGCATGCAGGGGAGATGGTGATAAACCTGTTAGACTCTCACACATCCACAGCTGTCTATTAGCTCTGCCTCTGTATAAAGAGAGGAGGCTCAGTAAATACAGAAATAGACAATTTGCTCCTGAAGAAAAACAGAAGAGAGAGACACCAGCGAGGGGCACACAAAACATTTGAAGAATTACTCCCTTGGGAGAAGAAATCATGAGATGACGCACTACTAAAGACTCCAGTCCGGTCTGTTTTTTTTAAGTCTTTTGAATTCCTAGCTCCCTTCCTGACCTTTTATGAACAGATCAGGGCCTTCTTTGAAAGCGTCATGGGAGGACGGGTGCCTCCTTGACTTTCTGCCGGCAGCCTTTAACAGCAGGCTTCTCACACTTATGTTAAGTAGGATTTAATGATATGCCAACAACGGCACCGATTAAAGGAGGAGATAACCCATTAAGTGGTGTTGTTTCAGAACAGATAACCTGCAATTTAGAAGCAATATACTGTTTTAAAAACAGGGTATGCTTGTCCTACCCTTGCCTACAAGACATGTCAGGTAAATAAAGCTCTTGTCTCCTAGATGACTAGGACATCCACAACAAACCTTACCTGGTTTATCTATTTCTTTGCTATTGTGTCTGTGTAATTAGACAGAGAAACAGGCATGCCAGGGGAAAGCATCATAACTCACCAAACATCACAAAGCCCCTTATTTCTTTTTCCTTAAGAGGCTGCAGGATTTTGAAAGACACAGCAGTGCTCAAGCCACTGACATTTGTTCTCAGTGCCCAACTCATGTTCTCTATCAGAAACTCCTGTCAGATGGGATTGCATGCTCTATGTTTGGTTTTCAGAGAAAAAGGGCAAGCGGGTTTGCACAGGTGTAGCTTCTCCTGTGTGAGAGAGCAAGCTCGTTTTTCCCCGCAGTGAATAAGAGGCCACCAGTATATTTTTGGAGGAACCATGCGCTCCTGTTTGTTCCCTTCTGTACAAAGTCAATCATCCCATACCATGTCCTGCCAGCTGACAAAGGTGTAACCTGAGAAGAATGCTGATGGCATCCCTGTAGGTATGTGATAACACAACTGTTAGTAGCAAACTCAGGTCCCAGCCTGCTGAAAACTTACTTGTGGCTCACTATGGAAAGTGAAAGCCTAACTTCTCCCTTAAGAGTCCCGAGATCAGAATCACTGTCAGCAGCAGGAAAACTTATTGTTTAGGGCAATATATTACACCACCAGATGAAAGGGACAAATCAGGTGCAGGCAGGGGTTATACCACCCTGACACACTTCTTTCCTCCTTATTTGGCTGGGTGTGCACTCACACAGATGCAGGGTGACGTGGGTGTGGG